AAAAATAATATATATGCTAGATTATTTTTAACATTGAAAAAGTATTTGCAGAAAACTAATGCAATATTATTAATTTAGATAATCATAAAGTACCTGTGCAAGTACACTGAGAGTTCGTGGATATACTTGAAGAGGCCATGTAGTTGAACTGTTGAAAACCTCTACAGACCAAGGATTTACACCCAAATGTTGCAGTAAAATATTCTGGAGAGATTCACTTAGTGTATTCCATGCAAGTAAATTATGAGTATAACGACTTAAGGCTTGAGAAAAATCCGAATACATAGCGCCTAGCGTAGCACCATAAAATGCAGAAATTGTACCTAAAAATTAACAATTTTGTGTTACAATATTATTCTTTTAATGTAGAATATGATGAATAAGTAAAATGAAAAATGTATGATACAACAAATGTTTTAATATATAAGTTACAAGTATAACGTAAGTTTTAATATAATGTGCACACATAGTAATTACATAAAAATTCACCCGTTTCTGTTCTAGCTGTTTCGTGATCTAGATCTCTTATAATTGCCGCCAATATAACCATTTGTTGCTCAACTAAGCCATTTACTACATATTCTCGAACATAAGTACTTCTGCTACCAATCAAGTGCTTATTCATAAATTGGAATATTTTTGTCGCGAGTGAAATGTACTGTAAAAAAAAAGAAAAAGATTATTAAGATTTGTTATATCTAATTTATAGCTATTATAAATATAAATATATCAGATTATTATTCAGTAATTATAAATATATTATAGATTTATATAGATAAATATCATTAATTTGACAAAATAATTATACTTGAAAACATACACCATGTGGTTCTCTGTTGTCAGGAACAATGGTGGTAGCGGTAGTACGTTCTGCACTTGCTTCATTATTTGTTTCTTTATTAGTATTTGTTGAAGTTTCGTCTGATGGAGCAAGGGTTTCTTCAAACCATAGTCCCAAGATGGGCTCGCTGTCCTCCTCTACTGACATAACAGTTTGTTCTATACATATAGAGTGAACACATACCGTTACATTAATATAATTATTGGTATGTAAATGTCAGCGTGAACACTTTGAAGCTGCATTCAAGAGTGCATATTACATACCACTGTATATCACACAACTTGCTTCAAAATTAATTTTCATGCATTAATTATATGGCAAAAACTAATTTTTTAAATATTCTACAAAAATTATGACACATTTTTTAAAATAGCATTGATATGTTCTCATTATTGATAATTATATAATAAAAATAACATTGTATAATAAAAACAAAATTGTACAGTAAAAAAAAGATTATCTAAATTTTTGAAGCATATACAAACATATCCTAAACAAATATATTTTTCATATAACTAATGTACTTATTAAATATTAAAACTAAATGCGTATAAGTATATACAATATATATGTTAGATGGATATGTAATATTACCCTCATCAGTAGAGTTCTCTGAACAACTCAAAAGATCTTCGTAATATGTAGTAGAATCAGATTGACTTAATGCATCTCCTTCTAAAGGGTGCTTCTGTACTCTTTTCAATGTACAAGCCTGGAACAAGAAAAAAATGTACATGAGTAATAAGCTATTATTAGTTTTTTTAAAATTAATATAGACGTTTATAAAATAATCCTTTTACCTTTCTATAACTAATAGTAGCCAAATAAAATAAGAGATGATTTAATGGCACTGCTTGCAGAAATGTTACTGCTCTTTGTAATGCTGTAGCAGTAGACAAAATATCTAATGGCGCAGGTTCAGGAACTGCCGCGACTACATCTGAATTAGCTTCAATAGATACATCTTCGAGAAGTGCACTCATTAAATTTAATGCATGCGATGCTAATGCTACTGATAATACGCCAAATCCTTGTTGCCTATACATTATATATACATAGATATTTTTGCTTATTTCTATATATGCATACATATTTGATATTTTAAAATTTTAATTTTATATATATAATTAAAATTTTTATACATATATACATACATATATACATATATACGTACATACATACATACATACATATATACATACATACATACATACATATATAATATGTATGTATATATGTATGTATGCATGTACGTATAAAAATTTTAATTATATATAAAATTAAATAGTTTATAAAAAATATATATAATCAAATCTTTAAAATATGATATTATATACATAAAACATGTAATAATTACACTTTCATAAGATTTACACGTCCCCCTCCATCACGAGCCTTACTAGGCGATTTTCCCTTTTCCTCTTTCCCTTTATCTGCAGCGCTAAAACTGCTCACAGTTAATTGTGCTTGCAATCCAGCAACCAGAAGCCATACTCCAATAAGTAAATGATTTTGCAGAATCTATAAATAAAATATAATCACATAAATATATATAAAATCAAAGAATTTTTTTATAAAATTTTATATACTAAGACTTTAAAATAATTAACATAACACACAATTAACGCATAATTAATATAACACACAATTGTAAATATTCAAAATTACAATGTTATATAATTAATAAATAAATTTTTTGTGTATAATATCTAAAGTAACAAATAGACTTATAGAAAATACTTACATGTCCTCCTGCACGCGTGCTATTTTTGATAACGTTTGATACTTGTCCAAATATTTCTAGACTTTTTTCAACAACTGTAATTGCCAAAGTATCATACTCTTCATCAGTAGTTTTTGCATTCTGATTAGCTTGATTGCTTGTTGCAGTATTTGTGCTACATTTAGGAGATACTGCATTTGTTATGCCAACTATGCTTGATGCTGTTGCATTTGCAATCGAACAATATAGACAAGACATAGTCAGCAGTGACAATTTTTCCAATTTTTGTGGTGTCAAAGGTTCAAGTATTGGAAGAGATATCACATTATGTACAATATTAATGTCGCTAACAACCGAGTGTAGGCTGTGTCTTATTGTATGTGCTTCTGACGCATTCGCTGGCAGACTAAATCCTTTTTTCGATAAGTAAGCTTGATATTTTCGTGTGTAACGCGACAAATGTGGAAGATTTAGACACATATCTAACAAAGTATCACCTGCTCCCATATTCTGCAGTGTACTTATATTGTTTGCAACAAATATCATCTGCAATATATTCGATTTTTATTTTCTAATCTTATTATAATTTATTTGATTCATATAAATATACTTTATCTTATATAATAATGAATTATATAATGTAACAAAAGAATATAATTTATTAAAAATAATAACATATAAATACAAAACAACAAAAATATTTGACATCGTAGAAAAGCATTTATATTTCATAAGTACAAACCTTAGTGTCAGAATGCGTCTCGTTTGTAGCAGCATTTATATTTTTGCTTGTGCTATCAGCAGAAACTTCATTAGCAAGAATTGAAGATGAAGAGAAATCTTGCAATGGCATTGTCAATTGCTCGAGGATACTAGTAGATAAATCACAACGAGATCGTACAGATTCTTTTACAGAGGATTGTTGGGAGGATTCTTTTTCTTTTCCACCTGGCAAAACCGTTACGTGGGGTGGTACTTTGGAATTTTTTATTACAGAAATGAGAGCAATTTCCTCCGCAGATGTAAGTAAAGATTGTCCCGTACATAATGCTCTTATTGGGAGTAATAATTGTTTTGTGGTCAAAACTGGTGCAACATCTGTTTGTGTTTGCTGTTGTGGCAGTTTATCCACAAGATAAGCAAGCAATACTTTGCATGCTTGACAAATGATAGATATTTGACTTTTGGCAACTGTAAAAAATTTATTTCGTAAGACCTGACGTATAAAATTCGCACACATAAATAAGTCTGTGTGTGTGTGTAGGTAGGTTACAAAGTCTAATGTCATTCCATTATTTCCTCAAGGGATATATAAAAAAATAAAAAATAAAAGAAAGAAAAAAATTGCTATATTTATGCTCATTCGTTTAGCTAAATTTGAGGTCGTACATGCGTATCATTTAAAAATCATTTAAAAATATTTTTCTATAATCACATACAAATGCGCGGTATTACTTACATGTATTTGCGCAACCACTAATGCAATCTGCCGACAGAGCAGCGACCGCCGTATAAAAGATATCATATTGATCCTCGTGAGAGACGAATTTATTTTCGCTGTAAAACAAGAAAAGACTGTACAAGCGAACAAATAAAAACGGACGAGTTCAATCCGAGTGATAGACATCCATATTATATTGTATTGTCATCAAAGGGTATTGCAACGTATTTTTGCACTATTGAAGATAGAGCGATTTAACATGGGTGTTCGAGCCTGACGAATTATTACCTACCTTTTAACGATGCTCTTAACCAGGTCAATTATGTCATTCTTATTAAACGAGCGCGGTGAGGTTGCTAATATTGGTTTCATTACAGAAAGCCACTCATCGTGACCACCACTCTTAGCCGCCATTTTCGATATACTGAGAGGTTCGTCGAAGCGGTCGACTTTATTCTCATCTCATCCTCCGTATCGCGATAGTGACTTTTCATTGGTGTAGAACGCACATTCACAGAAGTACAGAATTCACACAGAATTTATAATGCAAGATAAAAATAATGTAATCTTTGTAATAATAATGCAATAATTAGTAAAATATAGTAATGTGTAATTCAAAGCAAAATTGAGATCTATAATACATAATTCAATTATAAATATTTCTAAAAAAAAAACAAACACGTTATAAAAAGTCTAACATCAATATCAATAGAATCACGCTACTTTATATACAAAATATTTTCTTACTATTATTAAATAACTATTATTTAATAACTATTATTTTTCATTCTAATATTCACACAACAGGAAATGAATTTGTTATTAATTGTACTACATTTTTTTTCACTTACGACAAAGATACACAAATGTAAAGATTCGTTAATACGGCTATTTCATTGGCTAGACAGAAATAAGAACAAGCTATATAGCCCCAAAAAATGCAGATTTAATATTTTTTTACTATTATTTGTATTAAATTACCTGTGATTTCTTATAAATCAATTTTAACAGAATAAGAAATCAACATATGTACATAATCCTACACGAAAGTTTCAATAGTTCCTTTGATTGGTCCCTCCCACATTGCACTATACATACCTCTCACAAACCCTACGTCTATCAGCTGATATCTGTCACTACTCTACTCGCCGGATGTTAGTCATAATAAAAAAATTGTCCGTTCAATCATGTCGTACAAGTGTAAATTTTCTGCGGTACGTTTACAGAAGTGTTTAACTGAGAAAACGTTATTGCAAATAACCTGACAAAAAAATCGTGCGGTTAGATCAAAGTTTACAGAAGGATCTTTGTAGGTTATGCAAATCTCTTTACTTGTCAAGCCTCGTACAGCAAAATGGATAAACATATGTATCTATGGAGAGGAGCTGACAAATTGTCCTTCGCATTCGGCGACAAGCCGAATGGCGTTATCTGCAAATTGGTTACCATTAAAGATCACATTTTTGTAGTGACGACGACCAATAATCTGTACCATGGGGAAGTGTCGTTCTCAGAGAACACTTGCCCTATGGTCATCTTCAAGAGGGCTCAGTTTGACGTTATCGACGTAGCGTCTAATTCTGAGCACCTGTTTATCGTAAACACTAAAGGACATGTTTTGAAAGTAAATCCTCAGGACATGAGTGTTATAGATCTAATAATTCTTAAAGAGGAAGTGAAATTTTGTAGTCATGGGTACGTACATGAAAATAAACATGTGTATATATGTTTCATAGTTAAAATTTGAGTAAGTCTCTTCCGTGACTTTTATTTCTCAGCTGTTGCTATTTTTAATTTTCTTCTATATAAAAATTGTTATTAAAATTTAATATTTGAGAATAATTGATTATTAGATTTTATTATTTATAGGTATAAAGAAGAAAATGAAGTAGTAAAAGTCAAATCTATAGCAGTTAGTGACCATGCAACATTATTTGTTACCGAAAATGGACAATTATGGGCTAGTGGTAATCAGCCGCAGATAGATATAAATAGTACAGAACCAAAGAAAGTTAAATTCTTTGAAGGAAGGACAGTGTCTGAGGTTGCTTGTGGTTCCAATTTTAATGTAGTTACCGTGAGGAAAACCACCAAACCTATAAAAGATGATACAGATAGTGAAAATGAGTTGGAGGAAGAAGTCTTCATTAATTCTTGTCCGCAATGTCTTAATAATGTTATGTTAAGCCCTGGTAGTGTAACATCATCAGATACATGTCTGACTGGTCTTCATGCACAGCAATTTAGTGAGGATCGTTCTACAAATTCTATCAGTGCTTTGTCCACTGCCAGTAAAGAACACATTTCTCTACCAGAAATGGACAAAAAAGAACTTTCTGATATTATTGAAAATGGTGGAGAATGTCCGAATAATTTAACAGATTCTGAAAAAGATGAAAAAAGAAATGTTATATTTATAAATACAGAGACTGCTCGACAATTTTTAACTAGGCAACTATCTTGGGTTTCATCCTACGGTAGTGCCAAGGAAGATATACCTATGGAAAATGTCGATCGTTCAACAAGATTGATAAAACAAAATGTATCAAATATGGCAAACTTAGTATATGAAGGAGTTAAAAATGTAGGAGGAAAAGTAGTAACTTTATCTAGACATATGAGTGGTAGTTCTGATATTAATGAAGGTAAGGCTGATAGCAATGAAAACCTAGAAGAACAAGGAGATAGCTATACGAAACCTACCGCGAGTAGTCTGGCGTTAAGCTTACGTTGCGAAGAATTTCCTTGGTCATCGAGTACTGGTTCATCTGAACATGAATTGTCTCAACAAGGCTTAAACGAAAGAATCAATGCATTATCTCGCACCGGTAGTAACATACTGGCGACGGAACTCTGGACATGGGGCGATGTACAATACGGACAATTGGGAACGGGAGATATTATTAAACGACCGAGACCGGTACTAGTAGCGAAGCTTAGCCATATTGGTATTAGAAAAATATCATGTGGTGCCTTCCATGTGCTTGCTCTAACATTGGATGGTAGAGTATTTGCATGGGGTCGTAACAACTTTAAACAAGTCACTTTGCACACTACAGTAGATCAAAGCGCTCCTCAGCTATTTACAACAAAGCTATCTTCCAATGAGAGAGCCATCGACATGGCAGCTGGCGATTTCCATAGTTTAATAATGATGCATCATGGTTTATATTTTATGGGTCAATCAAGGTAAATAACTAAAATAAAAATCTTATTGATTAGTGATTTTATATTTCCGTTCATATGTGTATATAAATAAATTACGATTTCAGTAAAGTTGGGGATATGTTTCAATTTGACATACAAAGTAAAAATGAAGCAAATAGTCCGAGAGAAATTTTCAGTTCTAAACAATACAGTTGCTGTTCTATGATAAACGAGCCAGCGATAAATATATCAGAAGATTTAATAAACGATCAGATCTTTCTAGAAGAGATGTTGACTGTCTATCAAAATCTTATCAAGCCATTTCAAAAGAAAAGTGGTACAATTCAAGAGGCTAATGTATATGAAACACTGTGTCGTTGTTATGCAGAGCTGATGCACTTTAGTGTTTTAAATGTTATAAGTTTGTGGGATTATTTTAATCACATTGGAGAAGCCTATGAAGTCGCAATTGTTGCGAATATAGAGGAATTTACTACAGTATATAAATATTATTTGAATGCTATTTGCGATGTTATATCCCTTGGTGGTTTTACGCATATTGCAAAACTCATTGAAGTGCCACAAATAGTATCAAATTTATTTATAAATAATTTAAAGAATAGTGATCTAAAAAGAAATAACAATGAAATCGTTATAACAATGGCATTGCAACATCCTTTATGCAAATTAAACAGGTAAATCTTACATATATAGTCATATATATATATATATATATATATATATATATATATAATACATACACATACATTATACACCTTATATATATATATATATATATATATATATATAATTAATATATTATTTAACCAATATAAGATGCTCTTATATTGGTTAAATAATATATTAATTACGAAAATATATTTGTCAAACTTTATTCTCTTTAATAATGAATATATGTAATTTAATGGATTTATTACAGATACAAAAATATGATACATAGTTTAATAAAAAGTAATGGTACAAAAATGGGTGTTGAACGATTACAAGAAGCTCTCATAAAATGGGAGCAAGTACACGATGAACAAGAGAAACGTCAAAAAGAAGCAGATGCTACAAAATTATTTTGGGAAAGTTCTGGAAAATTAGGAGAATTGTTGAGATCTCCTAATAGAAGGCTTATTAGAGAATCAAAACTGTACCCTCTATCAATACTTAATTCTGGAAGATTTTCATCTCATTGGTTTGTTTTATTGACAGATATTTTCATACATGTTACTGGTGCTACACACACAATCCATCCACTTCAAACTTTATGGGTAGAACCTCTACCAGATTCTGAAAATATACAGGTACATTTATAATTTATATTTATAATTTTTGTTTATTACATCGTATCTTTATAATGAAAGAAATGTATATCATAATAATATAATTAAGAATTGATTTATTTATCTCTTAGAATGCTATATCAATTGTTGCACCAGAAGACAATTTCATATTATATACTCCTACTCCTTCTGAACGTAATGAATGGTTACATGCTCTACAAAATACTATAAAATGCAGTTTGCAAAGAGTGATTGGAAATGTGCCTCCATTAGCACGCTCAAGTTCGTTTTCGTTTACAAAACATAATGTTTTTAAAGATGCAACATATACTGGTATGTAAAATGAAATATTGAAATATATTTCATTGAAAAAAACGCGACAACAAAGTAGAAAACTACACAAAGTATTTGTAATAAATTACATTATAATTTAATAGGACGATGGCTAAATGGTAAGCCACACGGTTCTGGAAAATTAGAATGGTCTGATGGTCGTACTTATGTAGGACAATTTCATAAGGGTGTTCTTCATGGTACTGGAAAAATGGAAATTCCAATGCAGGGTGTATATGAAGGCCAGTGGAAAGATGGTCAGCAAAATGGATATGGAACAATGAAGTAAGTTTCACATTTTCTTAAATTTATAATGTCTGTATTAAAGTTAATTGTTTATGAAACAACAAATGTGAATTTTTTTCTGGCATATTTTTGATTCCGTAAATTGTATTCTTGTAAAGTTAATTTATATAATATTTTAGATACATCAATGGGGATTTTTATGAAGGATACTTTAAAGATGGATTACCTCATGGCCATGGTGTCAAAAAAGAAGGTCACTTTATGGCATCAGTTGCATCTGTTTATATTGGAGAATGGGCTGCAGGTGTTAAACAAGGCTATGGAATAATGGATGATATTATGACAGGTATAAAAAATAAATATAATATTATCCCGAAAATAAAATATAATAAATCAGATTATTATCTGATATGATTTTCGGAATGAATTAATTACAATATCGAACTTATTCAATCATATTACAGGTGAAAAATATCTTGGATCGTGGAATAATGGTCTAAAACATGGTAATGGTTTAATTGTGACACTTGATGGCATTTATTATGAAGGAGTTTTTATGCAAGATGTTCTAACGGTGATTATATATTCACGAAAACTTTCTTAATATAAGAAACATTGAAGAGTTATAAATCATATTGATATTGACATTATCTGTTGAAGGGTCATGGAGTAATGGTATTTGAGGATGGTACGCATTACGAAGGCGAATTTAAGTCTGCAGGGATATTTTGTGGAAAAGGTACTTTAACATTCCGAAGTGGTGACAGACTAGAAGGTAATATGAATGGCGCGTGGAATGAGGGTGTCAAAGTTATCGCCACATTGCATATGAATAAAGCTAGTGGAACTGCACAAATCAATTCAAAACCAGCGTAAGTGTTATTTCTCGTCCTATCATTATAATATTAGATATTCTTTTTTTAAATATCAAGTAATAAATTAGCAGAATAAGAAATTATTAGAAATTTTATTATATTAATATATAATTTCTTATGTTATTTGAGCTTATATTATATTATTGATATCAGATCTTTCGGTAAACTATGCGTATCTGCTGATCAGAAATGGAAAGCCATATTTAAACAATGTTATCAACAACTTGGCATATCCGAGTCTGTCACCAAAAATTCCAGTTACAATGAAAAGTCTATAGAAACTCAAAGAGTATGGCAGAATGTGGCTAGTATAATAACAAAGTCTCATCAAAGGACATTACAACGAAAAAAATTCTCTGCCAATACTGCCTCAAATATGAAAGAAAGAAATAGTGAAACAATTGATCAATTGGATAAGATACCGTGTTTCGGGCGAGACAAACTCACGAGTCAGACTTACAACGAAGTCCACAAGTATTTAGTGAAAGCTTTCGAAAGTCCGCATCATCCATTGGGCGCCCTTTTGACAGAAGTAGCTGCGGTATATACGGCCACTTATGGTGGAGTGAGAGTGCATCCATTATTACTTAGCCATGCAGTATCAGAACTGCACAGTATTACAACAAGGATATATGAGATTGTGCTTCTTTTATTCCCGGCTTTACCGCGTTGTGGCAAAGAGTATGTTCTTGAAACTGATGGTGAAGAAGAGTATGTATAAAATCCATAAATATTTAAGTTTTTCGGAAAAACTTATACCGATACAATTTAAGGATATTTATTTTTAGGCAAGTTATAAGCGCTGCTGCGATACTTCATCCAATATTACTGCCACGTGTACATTCAGCACTTTTTGTACTATACGCCTTACATAATAAAAAAGAAGATGATGCATATTGGGAGAGATTAATGAAATGGAATAAGCAACCTGACATAACTTTGATGGCCTTCCTTGAAATTGACCAGTAAGTGTACTAGATTTATAAAATAGAACTAATAGAATATATATAATAATAAATGATAGAAACAATAAATTGTCATATATATAGAGAAACTTGATTTTATTACAATATTATATAATAACTTTTTATTTGTATGTATATAGTTAACACATTTCTAATTATTTATACTTTTGCAAAATTGTAGGAAATTCTGGAAGACTACAAATGTATTAAGCATTACAGACAATTCATTACCATATCAGCATGAACCTTATTTCAGTGATGCCATAGAAACTTTACAGCAACTTAAAACAACTTTTTCACCGTTAGAAAAGCTATTAGTGGTCAGAAATACATTTGAACAAATGACACAAGTAAGAAAATATGTATAGATTATGATATGAATATGATATGAATATAATTAATTTATAATAATTAAGTTATTTATTATTGACTTATATTTATCAACAGGCAGTACAAAAACAATTAGGATCTACATATTTATGGACAATGGATGAACTATTTCCAGTATTTAGTTTTGTTGTAGTGCGCGCTAGTGTATTGCAATTAGGGAGTGAAATACATTTTATTGAAGATTTCATGGAGCCATATTTGCAAAATGGAGAGCTCGGTATTATGTTCACCACTCTTAAGGTAAGATATAGAATAGAAAACAAAGTAGAGAAAACCGAAGTTTAAAGAATAAAATTAATTTCATTACATAGGCATGTTACTACCAGATATTACAAGAAAAAACAAACATGGGTGATTGAAAGCAAGAATTGAAATCTATACATGATACGGTAAGATGGTAAATATGTATAGATATAAAGAATCCTTAAAAATAATATTGCATTCATTTAAAAGACATGACAGGATAAAAATAATTTTGCCTGACAGAAAAGTACTATGTATTATAATGAACTAAAGTGAGATAAATTGCATTTATGATACAGATTGTTGTTCTTGATTACATTAAAATGCTGAAATATGAAAAGAAATAAGAAACGACGTGACATATCATTTCATTAGAAAAGGTTTGTCAAAATGTATATAAGTTTACTTATATTAAAAAATATTTGTCATTAGCTAACTCAATGTTCTGCAACTAAGAAATGTTTGCATATGAGTCGCACATTAAAAAGTTAAAGTTTGGTACTTCCAATTATCTGTAGTCAAAGGATATTGTGCATTGCAAACAGCCGTATGAAGTACACAGCTCAATATTGTGATATAAAAAAATGAAAAGTTACCTTTTCTCTTCCACATACCTGAATTAGAGATTAGCTATATAAAAACAATTATTATTCATCTCTTGTATATTTTTCTTTTTCTTGTAATACTAAATCACAGAAATACTTGCAAATCTTTTTAAATACATATTACTTTCTGAATATAATTCATTAAAAATGTAAATATGTCAATTTTAATGAAGTTTATGTTTTTATATAAGCTACACCGTGCAAATCACTTTCTTCAGAATTTGTTAAGAAGAATTTATTTGATGAGTTGCATATCCTTAATATATATTTAATATATATATTGTATCATGAATGAACAAAAAAGAAAAAATTAGTCTTTATTAAATAATAATAAACATTTTTTATAATTGTAAAATAAATAATATTTCCATCCTATAATTTTTGCAGAAATTTAGAGATTTGTTTGCTAACATTTATATACATGTGTAGTACACATTGATATATGTATAATGTTAAGAGATAAGATACATATAAATTAATTGATTTAAGTTGTAATAAGAAAGTTTCTAATAATATTAATTTGTTTACTTTAAACTATTTTAAAATAAATATATTGTATAATTGTGTGATTGTTAAAAAAAGTTCGACATAGAAAATATTTATAATTTATTATTATTTTATCATGTGCTATACACATATGTATATTTCCCGAATATATGTTTATTACTTTATTTATATGTATGTGATATTAGTTAAACAAAATATTTACTAATAACTATAGCATGTACCTGAAACATATTCTTCATATTAATCCGAAAGAGCTCATTGCATTTATATTTACATTTATTTCTTTTAAATTTTTATATACTTCTATGTTTACATAAAAAAAATCAAAAAATCATAATCATATCAAAGAATAATAACCCAATAATTTGCTTATTTTATTTTATCAATTACAAAAAATATAGAAAATGATCGTGAAATGTTTTATAATCAAGGTTTCATTAACATATAATATTACATATTTATCTTTACAAGAATTGTGGACTCTATCGGATTAATATATTAAATATATATAAAAGTACAATAATTATTTACAATATGCTATACATTTTTATGATATGTTCATGGCAACCAAAATTAAGAAATCAAATTGTTAGTATCAAATAATGATATAAGACATCATTAATAAATATTATAACTTATGTTTTGAAATACTGTGTTTAATTGAGATAGGATTAGAATTTATTGCATAAATCAGTTTTTAGGAAAGATTTGTTATTATAACTATTTTCGCCTAATATGGCAGAAATTACAAATTTCATTTTTAAAAGTTCTATCTAAAATAGTTATTTATTTACATGATAGGATTCTTGAAAAAAATATATAATAGAATATATATTAATATATATTTAATAATACAAACAAAAAATAAAATTATTGATAATATTGGAGATGTCTTTTCTTGTAAGTCACAAAAGGTAAAGTGATTAGTTTCACTTTCATTATAGAATTTGCGATGTATTAGATATACAATGACATTGAAAGCCGATTAAGAGAAAAAAATAACAGCATAATGTTTTAAATATATCGTATTTTTCAAGTAATGTAATTTATATCATGATTTATATGAAACTCTGAATTTATTTATGAGAACTCTCTATGAGAATTATAACTTTATATTTAGCAAAAAATAAGAGATTACACATATAAAATAATGTAAAAGCTGTACAATATGAATTAATGTGCATGTGTATAGATCTATGTAGTCATTTAAGTTAAAATCCAATTTATATATACCTTTTTTTTGTAATAAGATATCCTTCAAATGGTAGCGTGATACACAGTGTTTGGAAAGCATATATATATAACTATGTACCTATTTCAAATATTAGAAAAGAAATATTTATTGAACATTATTAGCAAATCATCTTTTCCATAAAAGATGTTAAAAATAATTTGCACGAATACATAAATAAATCTTAACTCATCTAATCTTATTATCGAAAATCTTAAAAATTCTTGCAGTAATATATCTCTGAAAAAAAAAATTAATTTGCTAATAATGTTTTATGAATGTTTTTATTAATATTTAAAATAGATATGTATAATTATTTTCCTAACACCGTATATATATATTACATACTTTTAAATAATTCAGACAATATTCTATTACTTGTAATGAAACAAAAATGTTACACAATAATTGATATATATAATTGACAGATTACAACTGTTAAATGTTAACAGTTTTTTATTTACAGATATTGTGAAGACAAATATTGAAAAAGTTAAAAGTAAATATATAGACGTAGTACAATATAAAAATAATTTATTTATAAAAATTAATTGTGTGAGAAATGATATCGTGAAAATACATATATATTCTTCTCCTATCAGTAAAACATTAGTATCATTAATCCTAATCGTCATATTCCGGATTATATATATGTTCTCATACATAAATTTTAAAAAAATATATATATGTTTACAATTGTGTTTTCAGTCTATACATGTGATGCATGCATGATCACGTGGAAAGTGTAAATGTGTAAAGTATAAAATGGTGTTAGTGAGCTGCGCAAGAGTGCGAGAGGAGAAGTGATAGATCCGATTTTCTATGTAAAAAGTATAATTTCGAGAGTTTTATTCGTAATATAAATAACGGATTTAAATTTGTTGTAGACAAGAAATATTCGTGAATCCAACGCGCTCTTAAAACGGTTAGAACATTTTTTATTGTGCTCGAAGATGCGCTATATAACCTGAATTTGAACGCAAATTAACCTTATATTTAAATTTACACAGAAAATAATTTCTCACAAAATAAGAAACTTCGCAATATTATCGCATTTGGATAAACGAAGATAATATCCTGAATTGTGAATATTTTTATTAGTAAAACATAACATTTATTTATTTATTTTATCAAAATTGTTAATAGTATAATTTTTTTCATGCAGAATCTTTCTTCCTGAGAAAAAAGTCCATTACACACAGAAATCATGTCAAAACGTAAGTTTGACGATATTGACGATATACTTAATAAGCAGCCACTTAAAAATTCATTGGATTCTGATGAAGATGATGACGAAATAAACGAAGATGCCTATAATATCATGAACGAGAATGAATTTGAAGGTATTTGAACAAATGTATAATATTATCTAGATAAATCAATATTATATTTATTATAATTACTTTTTGATATTGTTATAATTCTTATTTTTATTGTCTAATGTGCATACGATGCATATCGATACATTGATTATATCTGTCAAATAGGCACAGAAGACGGACCTTCAGCACCAGAAACAAATATAGGATTTACAGCGTTTAATATGAAAGAAGAATTAGAAGAAGGCCACTTTGATAAAGATGGTCATTATCTTTGGAATAAAGAGAAACAAATAAAAGACAACTGGTTGGATAATATTGATTGGGTCCAAGTTAGTATGATGGATAAATATAGTATATAGTAAATAAATAGATAAATGGATATAATATAGTTTATGTTCTACTTTAAAATTGGCTTCTATTTATACAAAAGTTTAATTTTTTTCTTATTAAAAAATATATTTTAAACAATTTTATTTTCTTTAAAAGAATATATAACAGTGTAATAAAAATAAGACAATATATATTTTTTTATCTAAACAAAATATTATATATCTGTCAAAGGTTAAACCTGGTTCCACTACTAATATACAAAAAAGTGCAAAATCAAGTGAAAATCATGGATTGGGAGATAGCGATAGTGATGATGAAGAAGATATTATGTTTGATCCTATTCCATTATATAAACAGATTTTAGAATTTCTTAAACCTGGTGAAACTGTTTCTAAGGCGCTATGCAGACTTGGTAAACACAATTGCTATAATATGGAACATGCATATTCAAAGTGTTATAAATAAATACAAATTGTCCCAATCCAGGCAAAGGAAAAAAGAAATTAACCACAGCTGAAAGATGGAAAAAGAAAAAGGAATGTAAGGTAGATAATGAAGAAGATCCAAATTCTGTCAGCATAATCAAATTAACTGAGCTAGCAAATGAATTATTAACACGTACTGGTAATATGGATATATATCAAGAAAGTTATGAAGAAATAAGAAAGAAGGTAATAAATATTACACATATATGTATATATAATATATTTATTATAAGAAATCACATATTTTGTAGATTGAACGTGCTAATAAACATGCATATCCTTCAAAAAAAGAAGCAGAACTTGACATGTATGCTGATGATTTTGATGAAAAGGAAAAAGCAAAACTAGATGATACTAATAATGGTTTGTACAACATGTTAATGACAAAACACATTATTATTGTTACCTATAATATATAGAGGTATTTTAAATAGAGGCATGGAAATATTTTTATATAAGGTTTTTGGTATGTACATATATATATATATATATACATAATGTACACATATATATTAGATAAGACAACAGAAGCAACTAGTGCAGAAGAAAGTACATCTTTAACAGAAGATATAACATGGGATTTGAAATGGTCGCAAGATGAAAATGCAGAAATACATGGGCCTCATACTACTCAGCAAATGCATACATGGGCAAAAGAAGGATATTTCAAAAAAGGTGCATGGGTCAGAAGAACTGGACAACAGAATCAATTTTATAATGCTGGTAGAGTAGACTTTGAACTTTACCTGTGATACTTCTATATCTAATATACACAAAAATGTCAGTAAATAAATATGTTATTTGTCAAAGAAAATTTGACAAATCTTAAAATTTCATAGAAGTAGTATGTATAGATACTATTGATATATAGCGTATATATTGTATATTAATATGTAAAATTTTTACATAAGATAAAAATAATCATTTATTCCACAAATATCTGTACAAATTTACGAAAAAATTCATGATATAAGAATCTATTAGTAAAAGGTGATTAAAATTCTGTTTCTTGTAAAAAATCCTCACAATACTTAATTATAAAGAAAATATTTTCTTATAATAAAATTGCAAAGTTTTTTTTAAAGAATTTTATATTTTTAATTTTCTAATTTTTTACGTCTAAAAAGAAATTTATTGAAAAAAATAATTTGTTGATTCTAAAACTCAACAAATTTGTGAGAAATTATTTAACAAATGTTATATAATTTTGATAAATGATTGTTTTTTTATATTTTTTTTTATTCTTTAAAACAACTATAACATTAATACGCAATATGTGTAAATTAGAAAAAAGCTAAAAAAAGGGAACAATATATTATTTTAGAAAACCTAAGTTGCAATACATAATGATAATTAGATCATTTTTCTACAAACCTGAACGTTATCTGCAACAATACTTAATTGGAGAACTATCATTTTGTATATGAAAAATATACAACGCTTGCCACACTTTTCAGTTGATATAAAGTATCTGCTGTAGAACATAAATCAACAGAAAACTGAACTCGTATTTCAGAAACTTCTTGAATGAAACTTAGTGAATGCTTATATGAAAGCAGAAACATTAAAATTTGACTCAAGGAGAATGTGATATTTTTAAATAGAATTTTATCACTAAAATAAATCTATTTGTATTGTATGATATAACTATATAGACTAAACTTATCTAGTAGAGTGACTTTCTTTAAGATTCTTATATTTATTTTGTACACTTCAAAGATAGTAAATATTTTTTCGAGTAAAAAATAGATTATCTCTCTAAAAATAAAAATTGTAAGATAAATTCTGAAAATATTTTTGAATTTATTATAAAACAAGGTCCCATTCTCTCTCTCTCTCTCTCTCTCTCTCCTCTCTCTCCTCTCTCTCTCTCTCCTCCTCCTCTCTCTCTCTCCTCTCCTCTCTCCTCTCTCTCTCTCTCTCTCTCTCATTGTTCCTTGTCTAGATATATGCATAAATGCAATAATTGCTTCATTTTATATTGTACAGAATAAACGTGAAAAAGGGAGTTATAGATATATTTTGGCTAACATAGATCACGAGGATTGTGCAAGAAAATTATAAAGAAAAGGGTGAATTTGAAAGTGTATGTCTAAATAAAAGACACGCATTAGTGTAATAAATCGCAAATTGAAATTTTCTTGTGTGTATATGTGTATGTCAGTAGATAATTGGCACGTGTATTTTTTACTGAATATAATTTTATTAAACGTCTTAAACATTTTTATTAGCAATGTATGAAATTTTTATGTATAATTACTTAAAATATTACTTCAAATATATTCTTCGCGTACACGCAAAAATTGTTCAGACATGAATATCTGAGAGTATACGTGTGCATGCATATATGTATATATATTTATATAGATTTGTATATATTGTATATACAAGGTGTCTTTTCAACTTTTTTTGTATTTATGCGCTGCTGAGAGATTCTTTGATTAATTTTGAGTCGATTTTTTCTTGATCAATATTACTATATTAATAGACATTATACGCATCTGTAATTTTTCAATGTTCAATATTAAATGTCTTGGGAAGTTACTTAGACTTTAATTAAAATTCTGTTTGAGTAAAGTCTATTTGGAATGTATTAAAATTCAAGATTTTAACACATATTAGCAAGTCTAAAGTTTAATATGAGAGAATCTTTCATTTTTAATTTAATCGTTTCTAAAAATAAAAATTATTATTTAATATTATATAAATCCTTCGACATTTCTCTCTTTGCTAAGAAAAAATCAATTTTAAATTATTCAAAGAATTATCTCAATATTTTTTTTTCTTCATGCAGTATAATTGTAGATTTTGGGACACCTAGTATATGCGCGTATATTTTCGCAAGTATAAATTCGTAGCTCATTTTGAAAAGTTAGAAGAATTTCTAGCAGAGTGTTAAACGTATAGAAGACCAAAAAGTATCTATGTTACATTATGAACTATACGAATCGATCCCTTGGCTACACGAGTCGATCATAATTGAAAGAGTCTAAATATAACTACGTTACTAAAAGTGCGGTGAAACACATGCAATGTACATCCGTTGCTTATCAAATTCAACATATTTCATGCGTTTCATAAATTCATTAATAATCACATGCTTTTAATCAAAATTGCAAGTATTTGCAAGTTCGTCCTCTGCAAATTTACACGATGCTGAACGATGAATAAAAACTAAAAAATTATTCTTGAACAATAGCTTTTTTGCTTTTTAAAATAGAGTCGTCGTTAATATCAGCAAACAATAATAAAAGATTCAAATGCGTAAATGAATGAAATGTTTGTTATTCCAATTATGAGCCCTTCAATCAACAATTAATTTAATTTAAATGAAATCACTCAAAGAAATGATGTTACAGCAATTTTCTGAACGAAAAATCAATCAAGACAAATAAATAATTAACAAATACTTTGATATCACAAATGTTTAATGATTAATTAATCTAAATGAGAGACGAAATTTATATTTAAAATGTTATTGAAATTTAGAAAAAAATCTTTCTATGTCACCTATTCATATTATAGCTAATCCTTGTTTGATTGTGATACATAGAAAAATTGTTTCTCACAAAAATTATTTAATGATTAATGTTTAATAGGATTAAATTTGTTAGAAAATATTACTAGAATTTACCGCTATAAGTTCCATATCTTATAATGTTATAATAGATGCAAAAAATAGTGATAAATTTTTATTGTGACATCTAGAAATCTATCTATGTCCGCAAAACTTTTTTTAAGTGATGACTATATATACAATTACAGCTTAAATAAATTCATCATAATATTATGAAAAAAATATCTAGATTTAAAAAATTTTTTTCTTATAGAAAAAAACAAATGCAGAATAATAGAAATAGAAATGATAAATTGAAACTAGTTTTTCTGCCAAAAAGACTTTAACTTTTTGATTATTTATTAAAATTGCGAACAAAAAATTATATCGTTAGACATCGTATTGAATTATTTCTAGCTCTAGTATTCAAAACACATTTCACAGTTTCAACACATTTTCACAAAAGAGGGATCATAATTTTTTTTTTGTAATTGCCCATTTTTCTGATTAGTTAATTAATTAATTATGTTAATTAATATTTCGCAAACAAAAACTGTTATCGTTCAAATTTGCTTACAGAAATATGAGAATACACAAAGCAAGGTGGTGAAGGTACATTGCATTACATTCACGCGTGTCGACGAAACAAGTACTTTGGTCTTTCCCAAGCTGAAAGGACGCGCAACAGCCGGAGAGAACACAGGGGACGTTCGGACGAGGGCGAAAATAGGGTAAGAACGACACATACGAGAGCAGACAAATTACATGCCGGTTTCATACACGCACGCAAAGGAAAAAGGTAAGATCCCGTAAGAGCTATTCCGTCGGTCTTATCTTTATCGTAGCGAGCACGCTTTACGTGGTATTGCCTTATTCTAGTCTCGCGAATGACCCGTTCGATCGCATGCGAGTTTTCGAGCCGTTGCGAACATCTCGGGGAACAATCGTTATTGCCGTTATATTGTTATGAAATCGGCGCCGTAGAACTTGCACGCATACATACGGGTAGGGGAAACACAAATGAAACGGGCACTCACATATGGACGTTTACGCACGTGAGGGAACGTTACGATTTATTGGCGTCAGAATGGTGCGGACACTTTTCTTTTACTTGTAACTTCTACAGATTTATTTCTCCGTATAAATCAAAGAGATGCGGAGGTATTAATAAAGTCGTTACCAGCATCAAATATATTACCCACGTATGTTGATTTATTGGCAGGAAAAAAAGTTGAAAATTAAAAAGGAAGAATACAGGAATTTTATATCAACATTTTAATATAATTATGTTACTCTCTCTTACGCTTCTTCAATTTATACGGGAATAAATTTATCGAGGTGTATATTTTCTACGTGAGCGTAAAAAATGTGTCCCAAGACTATTTCGACGCCGATTATACATCTGACATTACACAGGGGTTTGTATGTACATACAAAAATAGCCGCCGAGAGCAGCAGCGGCACGCCTCAAACGCATCGAAGTCCCCAAAGCGAACTTCGAAAAGGGGACACGCGCGCACGGCTCAGAAGAGGAAGAGCAAGGAGAAGGACGTTTGCGAGGTCTCTATCCCTCTCTTAGGGGACAACCCAGCCTCGCTAACCCTTCGCGCGATAAGGCTCTCTCTCTCTTTCTCTCTATCTCGCTCGTCTTCCTCTTGGTCGTTCTCCAGACGAGAGATGCACGTAGCATGACTAACTACCATGACTAACGAGTCGGGCGAAGTGCCATCGAGAAATCTTGGCTAACCGAGCGAGAAAGGATAGGCACAGTGAAATATTTTCAGATCTAATATTTCGAGAGGCGCACTATAGGGATGGTATTTTCCCTATTGAGCCCTTGAATTCGTTTATCTTTATATGCCAGATGGTTAGATGGATAGAGTTCGCGCGAAGACGCCAGATGTGATTAAGAATAGTATTTACGAGACAAACTGTAAAAATAGCATCTAACTTGTTCTCATTTCTAATGGTATCTTTCTATTATATGCTTCGAAAATTTAGCCTTTCGGAAGAGATGTGAGATTTCGATCTGCGATGATTACTTAGAGGCTGTAATATTTATAATTCTGATAAATATGCAAAGCCTCCAAATTTTTGTATGAAACAAATGTAAATGGAAGCCAATGAAAAAGTTTTTAGAATATTATAGTCTAACCAATATGAATGTATTTATCTTTCTCTTGGATATTTGCTTGCTATTTAAGTTTAATCGGGCGATTTAAATGATACAGAGATGTATACACAGGGAGAGCGAAAGAAATGGGTGAAGATGAATGCTTAATGTTGGTAATCAAAGTTATAAATTGGATTGGATTTAATCCCCTCTTTCTTAATGCTTAAGTGACAAGTAAACAAAGAGATGTATACTATTGTATTTAATTAGAATTTTAATTTTAATTTTCTAATTTATTGATAAATATTGAAAAACAATCCGATATTCAGATTTTATCAATTGTCTATATATATCAAAATAATTGTCAAAATATAAAGTTATTTTTACTATTTTTGTAACATCTAAATTTTGTAAATTTAGATTAAAATTTACACATCATATATAAAAAAAAGTAACGAAAAAAGTCTTATTGAAAATTATATATTACATATAGATATCAGAATATATAATTAGATTTACAAAAATATCCCATACAACATTGCAGCAACATTGCAATATTACCGCAATCTTGCTGCAATGTTTTATACTGTATGGGATAAAAAAAAGTTAAAAAATCCATAGATCTTTAGTATCTTTCAACGTATACACAGATATTCAAAACCAATCATGAAATTCGAATAAGAAGTAGGAGGTTGAGACCTTACGGACTCTGTTTCTCTTTCTTTCTCTCTTTCTCTCGCTTTCTCATTTTTCCCGTTCCTCGATCGGTCCATCGTAAAACTCTTCGCATAATCAAGGAAGAAAAGGCCGCGGACTTTCGAGTTAAACTGTGACGATCGATTGCGCATTCCTCGTCGAAACTTCCAAACTTAGCGAATCGAGATGAATGACCCGTTTCGGCGGAAAACAAGAGGACTCGTAGGCAGCTTGTAGGTCAGTGGATCGCACACGGAAAGCACATTAATGGAGAATTTTCACTCAACGCTTCTGCCAGACCTCTCGCTTAAGGGAAAATGAATTTTTCAGAACGTCAAGAACGAAGCCAGAGAACGAAGGCGTATCGCTTACGAGGAACATCAAGCCAAAATGTTTCACCTAATCGCATTAAATCTAAACGACCTCGTAAATATGGTTGTGTCAATCTTTCCCTTTTTTTCTCTTTTTTCTCCCTTTTTTCACGCAAACCGAGTACCATCATTTTTTTTAAACGGCTACCCGGTCGTTCGCTGCGCGAATGAACGTTGATGCGAATTGATGGCGATTGCCGACTATCTGGGGAACTGTTTCGCCACGAGAATGGCGGTTTCCATACATTTTTTATGAAACCATCCGCATATCGATCCGAGAACGAGAATTATATGTCTCGTTAAAAGACTATAGTTACGGATCTCACGGAAATTAACTTTCCAACTCTATATATAATATATAAGAAGATTATTTTCAGCGCACGCAAACAACGCGAAATGTACTTTTAATTACTCGACCTTGCATAGAAATTCATATTTCACTGTGACGTTATTTAGAACCAAATAAATTGATAACATTTCATTATCGATCGAGTTGATACATAAATCACGAACTATCTTTATTATCTTGATCTACAATAAAGCTTATTTGTAAAAAGATAAGCCATTGAAAAAATATATCGCAACATTCAGAAGCAATATTGTCTCGATGCGTACGCTCTTTGGTCAAAGTTTATCACTTTCCGCTCCAAGATCTTATTCTTCCTAACGAATAAACTGGCGAATTTGCCTAAAAAAGGAGAATGCTCTTAATTTCTCCCTCTAAATTCTGCCGCGTTGGGAAAGTTCGAGCCTGTCGTAGGAAAATGCGATTCAGTAACGAGACTTAATCTCCGGGTGTCGCAAACTACCACTCGCAGAGTTGCCTTACAAGTGGATCCAATTAGAAAGTTTTGCATATTCTGTTAGATTTTATGGAATGCGCGCGCGGTGCGTTTAGAGGCGTGCGCAAAAAACATAGAGATAGGCTCTCAAGATCGCGTAATCGCGGATTCGCGTAACAATTTCCGTCGTGACGTCGGATGGGAATGCACGTAACGCATTATCTTTATCTCTCGTTGCGCAAGACGGAATCGTTGTTGCGAATCGCAAGTACGAGTCTGTTTCGGTGATTCTCATAACGGAAACGTACGCACTTTATTCGTACTGCATTAAGTATATTTTCGTATTCAAAACGTAACATCTTTCCAAACTTAACATCATAAATTAATAAATAAATATATATATTTTATATATTTTTTTTTGTTTTCGTACGTGTGTATTCGCTTATGCATTTTTGTATAAATGTGTGTCTCTTGTAGTCTTTAAATATATTCGGTGTAATGTGCTTACAGAGTAAAGGTCGTAACACATTATTATTGCTTTAATTTACAACACTTCGTACAAGGGATCCTCCCTTTGTCGATCGTAAAAAGAGGGAAAAAATCAGATTCGCCTCCTATAACGTAATTTGCTCCCTTAAGCGTGTCTTGTGTGGAGGGACGTGTTAACGCAATTTTTAGCAAACAGCTTATCCTTTCTTATCGATAAACGCTCGTACGGTTGCTGAAATCTTCAAGTATCTGGATACTCGCTTAATCTATATTCGAGGGTGAAGAGATATTTTACGCGTTTATCCTTCGTAAATATATTAGAATCATTTAATTAAATATAAATATTTCCGGCTCAAGAGTTTTATACATATCAAGATCCGATATCCGTTGTCTTATTATTCAAACCATAAATAATTAATATAAATTTACAAATAATTAAGTAATCGAGCAGAAATATTTGGATCCAGATACTCGAATAGTTGGATTCTAAAATGGAACGCTATATTTATGAAGTCTTATAACGCGGTAGTCGGCAATATAATTTAGTTGCAAACCTCGAGCCGGAAAAGCTTCTCAGCCTGGAACGGACTTTTTACAAAGAGTATTAATCTCTAGGTAGCTAGTAATCTCTAAGAGGACCTTTAATCGACTAACACGCGACGCAGCTTTAATTTGATTTGTCACTACGTTTAAACGAGAATCCGACGCGAAATGAACGCTCGCCTGGCAAAATCGGGCCACTGCATTCGCACTGAGCCAGCGGATTTCAACTCGCAATTCTCGAAAATAAATACGGGTCCTCGTTCTCGTCTCTGCTTCTTTCTCTTCACGGTCCACGGTTCTAACATAACGTACTCTCTTACGTTCCCGCACAATTTACATTCCAAGTCGGATTGTGTTCCCTCAGTGAGAATGCATCCTGGCTCTTTCTCTCGTTCTCTCTCGCTCTCTCACTCTTTTCCTTTCTCTCCCTCCCTCTCTTTCTCTAGCAGCGACGCAACTATCTCGGAAGACATTTCATTTTCACTCATCCACGGTTGCTTCTGTTTGTCCTAGGGGTATAATTTCAGCGGACGCGCCGCAACCAGTCTCGGTTTCTTACGGACAAAACACGGCACATTCGCGCTCGAGTAACAGAATTTCAGGATAATCCGCTTTCCCGACGGCGATGGGATATCGATCATTTTCAAGCGCCAAGTGGAAAGTAATGTCCACCTGCATCGACGCCACCCTCGCGTCTTACCGCGGTATAAAATTGTTCGGAGCAGCGGTGGAACGTCGTTCCCTCCTTCTCTCCTTTCTCTCCCTTATTCTCTCTTTTTCCTCTCGTGCTGATCGAACGAACATTACTATTGCTCAAACGTTTAACCGTGTATACAACTTGCAGCTTGCTGGTCCTCGTATGCGATGAGACGTAGCGTGTACAACACCGAAGCGAACGTTTCAAAGCGATGTCGTAAGTTGCGTAAATTTAACGACCGTGAAGCTCGGATAGTGTAAATCTTTCTTCCGCGCCATTCCAGCAATATACTCGCAGTCCTCTCATCACATACGCAGGGCGACGCTCGAGCGATCAAGACGTCGGACGTCGTCGAGGCAGTAATCCCGAGATATTTTGGACCGTTAAAAGCCCGCGATAAGGAGTTGGTGGCGCATCCGGCTCGCCTTAACGACTAGACTATCCCCGAATTACAGCTACAGCTGGACCCACAGCGTCCCCCTCACACAAAGACAACGTGCGGCTTCTCGGAAAGCGGGGGCGGCGGTGGCGGCGGCGGCGACTGATGTGCCGGCTCGTAATCGTAATCGTACTCGTAATCGTAGCCATAGTCCAGTCGCCGCAGAGCGTTCGATCTGGTGGAAGGACTGCGCGCGCGATAAAGCGATAGCACTTCCGGTGGCTCGTCCCGCAGATCGGTCACGTCCGCCACCGCGTACACCCCTTCCTCCATCGGCCGCTTCCCGAAGGACGAAGGATCGACGACGTCGCGATGCCCGGGCCGGGCGTACCGCGGCGTCTCGTAGATGTTCGTGTCCTGCGACTGCGGGCTACATTCGGTCGCCGACGCGGCCACCGCCGTCTTGCCACGCGGCGAATCGTACGACATGTCGTCGTTGTTCCTGGCCAACAAGCGGCGACTGTACGACTCGGCGTTCTTGTCCAACCCGTTGTCGCTTCTACCCACGTAGACCAGGAACTCGGGACGGTTCGGCGCGGCGTACGCCAGCGACGAGCGTCTCTTCCTCTTGGCCCGGGTGAGATGAGCGATCAAGGCGAGCACGGTCGCGGCAGCCGCCAGACAACCGGCGGCCGACAATGACAGATACAATGGACTCAAGCGACACCGTAGGGAGCCCTCGGGTAGAGCGATCAGCGTCTTGCCGGCGAATTCCTCATCGCTGCAGACGATGTCGTGGGTGTCCAGTTCGAGCTGCGTCTCGTTGCGCCGCTCCTCGGCGCGAATCACATTCCACAGCCAGTGGACCGAGCAGTTGCACACGAGAGGATTGCCGCCGACACGCAGGTGCGACAGACCGTCGACCGGAAATTGCGTTGGTTGCAATGTCGCCAGGCTGCATCGACGTAACGAGACCCATCTGAGGTATCGAGCCCCGTATAAGACACGCACTGGTAGTTCCTTCAATTCTCGATTGCCGTCCATCGAGATGCGCTCGAGATTCACGTTATCGGCGAACGCTCGCGCGTTCACGCTCGCGATCATGCAGTCGTTCAGTTCCAAGTTCCTCAACTCGAAGAGATTGCGAAAGGCCACGGCCTCTAAAGACCCGAGAGGATTCGTGCTTAAAACGAGGCTCGTCAGAACGCTCAGTCTGGCCAAGGCGGCCGTAGGCACAGACGTTAGATTGTTCCCGGATAAATCTAGATACAAGAGATCCGGCAGACGATCGAAGGCGACGTCGGCGATGCCTCGAATAACGTTGTTCGATAAATTTAGAGAGATCAGCGATGATAATGACGGCAAGGAGTCTCGATCGAGTTCCAATATTAAATTGTACGACATATCTATTCGTTCCAAACTTGGCGCTAGCACCAGATTATTCGTCGGTATTTCCAATAGCGAATTTTCGCTTAGGATCAATGTTCGTATCTTATGCAGATTCGTCAGCAGGTCGTCAGGCAGACTCGTAATCGAATTGTCGCTCAGATTCAACACTTCCAGCTCGCTGGTGTACTTGAACGCCTGCTCATCCATGTGCGAGATGTTGTTGCCGGCCAAATTTAATTCCTTCAGGGATGTAAGTCCTCGCAGAGCGTTCTTCGCTAGCGTGTGAATCGCGTTGTTGCTGACGTTTAGCGCAAGCAAGTTTTGTTGCAGACCGAAATTCTCCTGGCCCAATGTGTGGATGAGATTCGAGCTGAGATCGAGGCTCTCGAGATTCCCGTAGAAACCGAAGCTGAGATGCACGCTGGTAACGCGATTCTTGGAGAGATCCAAGTGATGAATCTCCGGGTTCAATTGGATCGGCACGACCTCGAGATCGGCGTACGCGCAAGAGGTGCGTAGACTTTCGTCGTCGCACCGACATCGCGCCGGACAGATGCCACTAGCCACAGTTGTCATCACGGCGACCATCGCTATCGCGATCGGCAGCGTCGACGGCGACGACGGTCCACGTGATGCCATTCCATATGAGCTTCTTCCGGACTGGAACTACCCTGCACAATAAAATAACAAAATTAATCATTATTATTACATTAATTATCCGTGAATATAGTGCCAATAATATATATAGTATTAAAAATATGGGACCAAATACGTGATAATTATAGAAATCAAGAGCGTCACTTGCAAGACAAAACTATCACGAAGATAAATTTTTGAAGAGTTTAAATTAAATAAATAATAGGAGACAATTATTTGTCCGCTTAAACCTTACATTCTCGATAATTTTTAATCATTTTTAATTTGAAAACATATTAATATAAAAAGATGTACATGTAACATTTTATAATAAAAAGAATTTTATAGTTGAAAAAGATAAGATTAACTTGAAATTTGTCAAATAATTTTTTGTTTTTTGATTCAAACAAAATACGATTACATCACAAGAGCTGCTTTATTAATCGTTGCAACATAAATCCGTCTGAATATTACGTGATTTATTTATTATACATATACTCATATGTTATGAAATCACACGCGTCTCGAAGTGCGATAGAAAATTATTATTGCTCGGTTCCAATTATCTCTTTAATGACCGACAGTTTAATGATATTAACAGCATGTTAATTCAACATTTCAAAATATCAGAAATATTCTTCAACAAAGTGATATAGTACTATCATTACAATTAATTAGGTCACATGATAATGTGAAATGATAATTACTTGACACATGTAACATTTTTAAAAAAGCATAAATATAAAACAGAAGATATATTGAAACATTGATACAGTTTCACTCGCGGTTTCAATCAATTAGAAAATATGTATTGCATCCTATTGTATCGTATTTGCCACGCAAAGGCACGAAAACATATTCTTCGCGTTTTATACGATATATATATATATATATATATATATATATATATATATATATACATATAACGTGCGTGATTATACGACCAATATTTCTACACTATGCAGCTGCAGTTTCAAATAAAATCCTCCGTTAGCTGAAAGACCTTTGAGAGCTGGATAACTCGCGAAAGCGTAACTACCTTTTACGTTCACCGGTTTGCTACACAAGCTCGATGCAAGTTTATTTACGGACACCTGCACATTCATTCGTGTTCAGATTTCGCGCTGCTTGCATCTCCTCCCGGGATATGTACGACATGGCGCAGTTTGTATGTCAACTTTTTTAATGCCTATGGAGGGTAAATAACGCCACCCACTCATGACAAAAAGAGAAATGACAAACCGGCTTCGAAAGAGAAGTGGATATTAATTTTGCGTCTCTGCTTCGGCTAAATTTACTGCGCCCGGTTAATTAAATCGTGAAGAATTTCATCTGACGACTTTTTAGCGTCTCTTGATGTGCGATACAATCTGTTTTTGATTCGGAGCGATTAAATTAATTAGTACAAACCAGTACAAATTGTTTCTAGAAATATGTTCATATATATATATATATATATATATATATATATATATATATATATATGAAAATTTTTTTATAAGAAATAATTAATGTGGCACTAATTAAAGAGAAAAGATCGTGCATAAATTCATATTCAAATAGTGAAACTCAAGATAATATATTGGAAAATACTAAAACATCTTTCAATAATAAATCGTCTTACAGATATATTAGGAATAATATTTATTTACTTGACAGGTTTCACAAATTTCTTATAAACCTTTTAATTTTTTTATAAATTTTATCACACGTATATGTATATATATATATATATATATATATATATATATATATATCGCTCGAAAATACTCAAGTATATTACAGAAAAATATCGCAATGTTACATTTATATCTAGAGCTTTACTTTCCTTAAAAAGAAAAACTCGTAGAAGCTATAAATCAACTTTATTATATTTTTACTATATTTTAACAATATTTTTTCACATCACTTTAGCAGCGTATTTCTTTTACAGTATCTTTAGACGAGGAAATATAATGGAATCACCCTACAGAGCCTTCAAAGAAAGTTGGAGGAAACAAGAAAACGATACGTTTGCCAACGCGGCGCGTCTATTTCTTAGAGCATGGTGCATCCTTCCTTGGTAAATTTATCCGTAAAACAAGCAATTCGACGAGTTGCTGTTCGTATTTCACGTGAAAGCACAACGTACTTGGTCTATTGCGATAGAATTAAGACTTGGGAAATTTACTAGGCGACAAGATAAACAATGCTCGAGCCATTAATATTTCGTTCAAACTCTCGTAAAAGACATTGTGTTTCCGTTTCGAGAAAATCCTCGTTTCGAAAATTTATATTTTTAATAAAAGTAAAAAAGACGATAAATGCACACAAGTAACCTTTTTCATCTTTCTGCAACATAACTAATTCATGCAATTAAGCGCGAAATATTTGTAGATAAATCAATGATAGTTAAACATTTAAAACATTTTTTACAACAATCTTTAAAATAATCGTTATTTTATTTTTAAGCGCCATTGTAATATTCTTGAGAAAAACGAGAAATTTAATGCATTTGTAATCGACTTTGAAATCCTGGTTTAATATACGCATAGCTCGGACTCGCGATTGAAAATCGATACTAGATTAGCCCGTCAAATTAACCGCGATTGCCTCATATAATGAGCCTTGTAATCGAACACAAAAGCACCTTGTACGCGGAAAACATGTTTCCCCGAGAGATAGGTTGAAAACATTACGTTACAATGCAATCGTTGCATTTTACCCTGTGCCAAAACGCATAATCGAAACGCAAACGTATCAAGCGGATAGATATTACGCACTGCGCCAACGATAATTTCAATTCTATATGGCAAGATATCTCTGCCAAGTTTTCTCCTCGATATGTCCAGAAATTCCCCAATATCCTCGTTTCGGTAAGTGCTGCCTGTGCCAGTAATTTTTCACGTCTCTTTTTCTGCGCTCTGCCGGGGAATAACAAATGGCGCTGATCTCACTGTCATGTATAATGCACAGATTTACAGCATCCCGCTATCTGACACAGCTATATGTCCAAAGCCGCCGCCCTCGCTACTCCCTCTCAGAGCCGCGCCATCGCAAAAAAAAAAAAAAAATGTGCCGCGGACGTTAACATCCGCGGCAAGTAATATCCCGTATGGCACCGCGCGTCATTTTCTCCGGGAAATCGGGCGCCCCCTCTCTTTTTTTCCTACCCCCTAACGGACGCGTCGTGACGGGGATGTTTTTCGGCTGCTGGAATATCGCCGTGAGGAAGAAAGTTGCGAAGAGGGTGAAACGAGATCGGCACGAGAGGCAGGGGAGAGATGCGGTTGAAGGAAGTTGATTGCGCGGGGAAATTCTAGGAGGATATCTTGCCCCGCGGTAAAAGCTGACATCGCTCTGATAAACAACGCTTGTCTACGACCGTCGGGATGATAAGAGTAAAGCTCGGGAATTAGCCCAAGTATCGCAACTTGGTATCTAGGTCAGCGGAAAGTTTTTATTTCGCTCTCTGGCAACTCGTTAAGGATTTACATTTACCAGACTAACTACGTATAATCTAGTTTTGTGCATCGCAAGTTTCGTGTAAGCTTCAACGGACGATTAAGTATCCGAACGAGGCTATTCTATTAGTAATGTACTACACAGCGATGGAATATTTAGTGCAATATCAAAGATCAAAGTAATTGTTTCTACAGAGCATCCATCGCCGCAGAATACTCAGCGCGAAGGTGATCTTGTTGCGGTAAAATAGTATCACGTTAGGTCAATTGACTGTATTGCTGCGAAACACAGAGAGAAAAAATAGTGAAAAAAAAAAGAATGAACTGATTACTCGAAGATGTGATTCTTATTTAGAGATCTGTATTCATTGTTTAAAGACTATAAATAATTATAGTTGATGAATTTGTACGAGATAAAATCTTTGCCATGAAGTCTTTTGGATTGATAATAAATTTGTACAATTTCCCCGAGATTGAGCAAATAAATTTAATTATCTTAAATTATTATAATATCTATGCGCGCATACAAACAGTTTATAACGGTTTATTATATCCAGACAATTTTGTAGCGCATGTATCATTATCATTGAGATTTTATTACGCTGTAATTTATACGCGCTACGTGATATTTTCGCACAAAGAATTCATAAATAATATCGTACATAATTTGCCCAATATGTTTACATGTTTATAACGAGCTTGTATTACACGATCGCAGGGTAAGCGGAATTAAAAACGTTACATTACGATATACATTATAGCGAGATATTTCCCATCCGATAAATTATGCCGCGAGCAATTCCCGGTTGAAAAATTAATAGAGACTGAAGCGCGCACAGTTTAATTCTAGATCGTTGAAGAAGCGCCAGGATTCTCAAGATAGCCGAGTTAGATTGCCCCGTTTATCGGCTAAAGGGAACGTAAATAATAAATAAGACGATGCTCCCCCTCGTCGCGACAGTCGACGAAATTTGCCCGGACATGCATAATACATGTGGAAATGGCATCGAGCGTGGCGGCTAGGCCGCCAGTGGCTTCTTGTCTATAATAGAATCTGCGCCGTTTGCCCGATTCTATGGCGCATAAAGCAAAGAAGTCTCGGATAACGTATAACGGGCCGTCGAGTCGTTCAATTTACAGAATCCTCGAGAACTCTCATCTCGTTTCGAGCTCAAAAACTGCGAATTGAAGACGAGCCAAAGTCGTACCAAACTTGGTTAACCACCGAATGAACGCTCCAACTTACGAGTCCAACTCTCTCTCTCTCGAGCGAGCGAGGAACACGAATCACGCGCGAACTATAATTTTAGGATTTACACATATCGTTCTCTAATATGTGTCACGCCGCAAAGATAATGCAATTGGCAAATCATGTAGCGTACGTGAGATAAGACGGAATATATCCTTGTCGAATACAGGTTATTAGTTATCGTAGAGGGAAGGGTCTTACCCCCTTTGAGAAATAATGTTTAAAATCCTATATAAGAAGAGACAAATTAATTTTTATCCGTTCATTATGAAGCTCGTGATGAATTAAACTTGACAAAGTAGGCAAATTAAGTCACACGTTTATCGCAAGATCCGTGGAGAAA